AATAAACTTGCACAATCCAGGGTTGCACAATGCCACAAACCCCCTCTTTGTGAAACAACACCCCATCTCTCACCCCCCCCCACCCCCCCCGTCCCGCACTCCTTTGTGCCTTATGTATGCTATTGAATTTGATTTTCTCCTGTTAATCTGTGCCAATTTGATTCTTAGTCCAGCTAGAAGGACCTTGAAGGGGGACAGGAATTTTTGCTCCCTGACACAGATTCTGTGTTCTTTCACAAACAGAAGGTTTGTGGCATTGTGCAACCCTGCATTGTGCAAGTTTATTGGTGCCATTTTCCCAACAGTATTTGCTCTGTTTGTGTCTCTGTGTCACGTTTTAGTAATTCTCACAACATTTCAAACTTTTTCATGATTACACTTGTTATGGTGATCTGTGATTAGTGATTACCAATCCCTCACTGAAAGCTTGGATGATGGCTAACATTTTTTTAACAATATTTTGGACATTAAGGTACGTGCATTGTTTTTTTAGACACAGTGCTATTGCACAATTAATAAACTACAGTATAGTGTAAACATAAATTTTTTTATGCACTGGAAAAGCAAAAACTTCATTTGACTTTCTTTATTGCAACACTTGCTTTACCGGGGTGGTCTGGAACCGAACCCGCGGCGTCTCTGAGGTGTGCCAGTATATCACCAGTGCCCTGGCTTGTTCCAGAGAGATTCTTGACTACTTTCAAACCAGGCTACATCAAGAGAATGCTGAGGGTCTGCAAGTGGATTTTAGAACCCCCTTAAAGCCAAACCCCTTTGCCTGGAGTGTGGCCAACCAAATTACAAAGGGTCAGGGTGGGGGTGACGCCACAGACACAGCCTCTCATTGGGAATGACGTTACATTTCTGACGCCTTAGTTTCAAAGGCTGTGTGTCAGATTATAGACGTGTTAGTTTGCCACCCTGGAATTCTGCTTGGGGTCTTGGCAGAGTCTGTTAGCTGGCTGTGACATGGCCACAAACTGGGAGGAAGTTAATGTGTTTCACATGTTATTGGCAACCCTGGGCCCTCCTACAGTAGTGAAATAACTCAGGAAATTCTTTTGCTGACTCCTTACTGTTTTTATTTTCCCTACAGAGACACGACTCAGGGGCCTCTGTGATTTCCAAATCAATGAGCAAGAACACCTGTGAATTGCTAATGGCTTGAAACTTTGGGGAAAGAAAGCTCCAAATGTGACAGTGGCATTCTGATTAATTTAGGGAGGGGCAAGGTGCAACCTTGGATCCAGAACGAGCTGGATTTTCCCAGCATCTTGTACCTTGTTTGGTTATGAACACGTACAACCTCCTATGGGGTGTGCAGATTCTGAAATGGAATCCAATTAACCTTTTGCAGAGTTTTCAGCTAGGAGGCTGTAAAGCACATTTGTTTCCCCTAATTCTGCTGTTGTCATGATGCTAATCAATGATAGCACATTGAGGGACCTAACAGTCATTGCGTTTTTATAGCCTGGCAATTAACTTCTCCATTTTCCTGCAGGCTGGAAGGCTGGAATCCCAAGGCAGGGTTCTCCCTCATAGCTTCCCTTGCTTCTGAGCTGTGTGTTTGGCAGGTGCTGGAAAAGCCCACCATACTCCCCCCTCACTGGGATTATAGCAGAGCAACAATTAAGCCTCAGTAAGAAGAATGTTGGCTTCAAAACATTACAAACTCTTTCTATATTGAATGCTTATATTTTGGAATCATAGAGCCTCTACTGTGCCGGTAATTTGAAAATTAGCATTTCTAGGGCTCCTGGGTGGCTCAGTTGGTTGAGTGTCCGACTTTTGATTTTGGCTCACGTCATGATCTCAGAGTGGTAGGATCGAGCCCCACGTCTGGCTCAAGGTTGAACATGAAGGCTGCTTCGGATTCTCTGTTTCCCTTTGCCCCTCCCCCACTCGTGCACACTCTCTCTCTCTCTCTCTCTCTCTCTCTCTCTCTTTCTCTCTTTCTAAAATTAAAAAAAAATCATTTCTGAGAGATTAGGGTATTCTGGTTATAAATTGCTATGTTGCAAATTACGCCAAAAACTAGTAGCTTAAAACAAAAATATTCATGTATCACCACTATACTGGTGTGCTGGGCGGCCATAACAAAGTACTGCAGACTGGTGGGTGAAACGAAGACATTTTTTTTGTGTGTGTGGTTCTTGAGGCTGGAAGTCAGAGATCAAGGCATAGGCAGGGTTGGTTTCTTCTGAGGCTGCTCTCCCTGGCTCTTCAGTGGCCATCTTCTCCCTGTATCCTCACATGGCCAGTCTCCTCTCTACTTGTCAATGTCTTAATCTCCTCTCCTTATAAGGACACTAGTCATACTGGATTAGGGTCCACCATAATGGCCTCATGTTAACTTAATTACCTCTTTAAAGGCCCTTCTCCAAATACAGGCATATTCTTCTTTTTTTTTTAATGTTTATTTTTGAGAGGGAAAGAGAGAGAGAGAGAGAGAGAGAGAGAGAGAGAGAGAGAGAGACAGCATGAGCTAGGGAGAGGCAGAGAGAGAGGGAAACACAGAATCTGAAGCAGGCTTCAGTCTCTGAGCTGTCAGCACACAGCCTGACATGGGGCTCAAACTCATGAACCTCGAGACCATGACCTGAGCCAAAGTTGGACACTTAACTGGCTGAGGCACCAGAAGCCCCAAAATACAGGCATATTTTGAGGTACTGGGATTTGGGGATTCCACCTGTGAATTTGGGAAAACACAATTTATCCTGTAACAGTCATGCGTCTACCGTTCGGACAGAAGTCAGTAGAGACGACTAATTTTGCTCCACAACATCTGGGGCATCAGCAGGGATGACTAGAACAGCTGAGGCCATCCAGGATATCTCTCTTCATTGGCTCTCTCCCTATGTGCCTTTCCATTACAGGCTGCTTCAGGATGGCTGACTCCTTACTTACTTGCTGGGTCTGGGATTCAAGAAATTGAGGGAGAAAATGCTGCAAGACCTTTTACAACCCGGTCTTAGAGGTCATTGTTAGTACTCCTTTAGTCAAGGGGTCACACAGGGCCAGC